GGTGGCTGACTAAATACTTTTTTGCCCCACTGTACTAAAATGGTGTATTGTATTGAACCCATATGATTGGAACTTTGGCTTCTATAAGATAATGTATTGTGATCCATAACAAGCTGTGGGTACTATACAGTTTTGAATGACTTTCACATTTGGTGTGACCGTGGGGTTGACCAGATTAGCACCAAAATTAAATCATTTTGAGCTGTTACTGGTATCTACCATCAAACAAAATTTGAAAATGATATCTTGAACACTGTGGTGACTAGAAACTGCTAACAAAAAAACAGACAGACAAACAAACAAATGTAATCGATTACAGAGAACAGAGAACAAACGCAGACACCGCAGCTCAGTTGGACTCACGTGGTGCACAAACCACAAGCAGAAAGCCGGAGAGATCCACTCTCTTGCGTGGATCCCACAGTCAATCCACATGGCTTTCCTATTTGGCCTGTCATTGAAAGACAGCTGAGAAAAAAAGAGGCCATACACATGAATCTGTGCTCAGGAAGCAAACTGAGCTGTCAACACTGAACACTTTACAGCTTAAAGTATGTCTAATGGGATAAACAATGTTGATTATTTACCCCTAAAAGTGTACAAAGAGTAAAAAGAAAGGTCTGTGAGTGTTAAACATAAGGTTCGAGGGCCAAAATTAGCCCAGCAAAAGACTCCAACCCAGCCCACTGGATGGCTTTGGAAAATCTGGTGGAGGGCATACATTTTAGACTTTTAACTGCATTTTCTTAACGATACCAAAGTAATTAAGTAATAGATAATCAATGAAATGACAGAAATGTTCCTGGGGGTTTTTTTCTTACTATGATCTGTTTTCTGTGAATGAACAAAAACTTTCTGTTTTGTAATTATGGGACAGTCTTATCATTCCTACAAGTTCAAGTTGACGAATGCAGCTTTACCTTGAGAACGTATAGTGGCCGCTTCTCATATGAAGAACCAATAAGGATGGCTTTGACTGTTCTGGGGTTGTCTTGTGCAGTTCTGTTAATCCAGTCATAAATCTACAATGGAGACGGCGTACGTGGTTGTAAGCTGTAATATAGTATAACATACAGGGTAGCTGTGCATTTCCATGTAATCTAAAACAACAGCTCTGTGATAAACGGTGGCTGTGAAGTTTAGAATATCCTAATAAAACTACTGTGCGAAGTTGAAGAAAATATAAAAAATATCGGCAGCCCATCATCATCATCATCATCACTAAACATGCTTAAAGCGGACTTATTATTCGTCCAATCCGAACTGTCTATCCAACCTGTCTTAGGCCAAGAGGCAGGGGACGCTCTGGACAGCTCGCCAATCTATCGCAGGGCTACCAAGAAGAGAACATTCACACTGACATTTACACCTATGGGCAATTTAGAATCACCAATTAACCTAACCTCACTGTATCCCTCTAAACTATTTGGCAAATGTACAATGATTCAGCACATAAATCATAACATGCTGCTCTCCCCTGCATAACCTTTATAGGTTAAAAGTATAAGTATTAGTATTGGTATCGGCAATACTGCTCTTGATTTACTTGGTATCGGATCGTCACCAAAATTTGCAGTATCACACATCACTAATGGTCACAGCTCTGGCTGTGAACTCCACCCACCTGCCATTCAAATCTTTTGTTCACATGGGGCAGCCAACCAGAAGAAAGATGGCTTAAATGGTGGGGTGGAGTTAAGTGATGAACCAATGGGGAGCACCAAGGCCCAGAATAAGGCTGATAGGGATTATATCGAACTGTGACCAATGAAAAGCTACTCTAGCAGCAGAGGCTGAAAACAAAACTACAGAGCTGAAAATGAGCACATCAGGACTCCTTTCAATCTCATTCTTTTAAATAGGAAATGTATACCTCCTCAAGGGTGTGATATCTCTCATAAAAAGTTGAGCCGCTTCGTGGTTCAGTGGAGTCATTCTTCATCTGCATTTCGGTCAGCACATTAGGATTAGCCAGTAAGACCCTAAAATAAACATGCAAACACAAATGATTCACTTGGAATGAAATGTGACCCGATGCTTAGTGAATGGTGTGTGTGCATTAAGCAGCATACTTGTGTGTTATGCCATGTTTCTGCAGTATAGCCTTGACTGTCACAGAGCTGTTTCCAGGGACATAGAGGTGGACCTGCACTTGTGTACTGATGTACTCATTTGAAACAGGCTGCCACAGGACTGTCTGTGAGAAAATATCTGATGTAATGAATCACAGAAGTAAAAACAAAACATTACAGGTGTATGATCACTTAACTTTAATGCCTACCTCATAGTGTGTGGATACATTCCTCAAGATGTCCACTTGTTCTTGTGTTTGTGGGGTGATTGATAGAACTTGGTCACTAAATTTAAAAAATAAAAAATACTCATGCAGTTAAGATACAGCTATATAGTACCGATCTCACTCGGTTGCCCATAGGGAGTGTATTTGCATGTGTCACAATATGGTTGCAGGTATTTACACAAGAGTGTCATAACCATTTTTAAACGGTTCAAAATGAGAGTAAAGACTTATAATCTAAAAAAAACAACCCAAAAACCAAAACAACCACAGACAGAAATCTCTGCTAAGATGCCTCACCTTGTTTCTGTGCAGTATCCTGGCTTCAGTAGTATGCTCAAATTCATGAAAACAAACCAAATCAAAGGAGTCGACATGATGTCAGGGTCCAGCTGGACTGGAAAAGGCAGAGATCCGCTCAAAGTATGAGGGCAGGGAGATGATATTGATTGAAACTGTGTTTATTTAGAAGTTGAACTTTACTTTTAGAGAAGAACAAGGGCACGGGGCAGCTGAGGCAGAGCCCTCTGCTTAGTTAACTGCTACTGTTACATTGTAAACAACTTTATTAACTTATGTAGTACAAATCGCAAAAGTCTAAAGTAACGTCAGCTCTGCACTTCTTCTTTTTAATAGTAGAAAACCCCAGTGGCGTAACACCTCCTCGCCTGTGGGTGGCGCCAGATAAAAGGGAAATACTATAGAGTTTGAGGTTCACGTGGGGGGGAAACGGGAAGAAAACAGCATAGGGGGAAAGTGGAAGCGATTTTTGTGATGTGTTGTTAAATTTCCATTGCCAAGATGTCGGGCCACGATCAGCTGGCCCACTATTTGTGTGAGTTAACAAGGTAGGATATATTTGTTTTTAAAAGCACGCGCTCAAACCGGGATAACAGGATAAACGGTCGCGTGGGGAAACCGAGTTAGCTTGTGTCGTTTTCTTTTCGGGTGCTGCTGCTAGTTCTGTAGTAGCAGAGACGATCTTTGGTCAAAGACAAACGATTAAGAGCGGTGAAATATTGCACAAAGCTCTGGTTATTTAGCTGTTGAGCTAATTTCCCTGTACGGGGGGAAATGTATGTGCACAGACCGGGGGGGTTCCGATTTGTTAATAATATAATATAACGTCTCTATAAAATCCAAAAGGGGACTGGTGGACAGTTATTTAATCCAATAAGATTTTTTAATAAGCTTTAATTATAACAATATATTATATTAACCTTATTTAAAAATGTAATGCAAGTTGAACACTCATTATAAATATGTAACACGGTTTCTTTAACCCTCATAAAACTGTTCGCGTCAAATTTGATCTGTTTTGACATTTGATAGCAGTAAAAACAACCTAAACGTCATTTCTTTAATTTCAAATTCGATGTTATTTCTTAAACTAACCCCGAAATACAAAAAAAAGAAGAATAATAAAAGCATTTAAAAAAGTATTGTTCGTGTGCTACATTTTTTTTTTCTATACTGAGGCTCTTCTGGGTTAAATTTGACCCATATCTGTTGAATTTTAGCTGCACCAGCGGGTTAATAGTGACAGAGGTCGAGAGGAACCTGTTGTTCTAAAAAGTGATTGCCTGCCAAAAAATATAAACCAAACATATCTCTTTAATGATGTCAAATCATTTTGAGCCAGAAAAAAACATTCCTGATACAAGGTAGATACTGCAATAATTTTTTCCCTGCAAAGTCGTTTCATTGACATTAAAACCAATGCGTTTTTCACAGTTGTATCAAGTTGTCTAAAAACTGGATTGATTGTAATATAGTTACAATAATGCAGGGTTATAAAGATACTTGCCAAACAAATCTTTTTTATTTATTTTTTTCATTTTATATATAACCCCTTTGTAAATCCTGTTGACTAACCAAAGGTAAACAAATATTACATGTAGAAAGACTTTATCACTTTATGGCAAAACACCTTGACACTGTCGCGAGAACTGCCTGTTTCACAGTTGCTCAGGTTCCCGCAGAACCTGCTTTTCATTGGGAAATCTTCAAACGGTGTAAAGTAATACAGGTGTGATCATACATGGTGCATAAAAGAAACAGGGGTCATACAGGGGTCACAGAGTGCCTTGACGCGAACAAGAGAGCATGTCGGTGGAGGGGTTACCACTGTCACGTCACAGCTGGAGCCTTTCTGTGTGGTTTGACTGCTCTCCATGTCTCTGTGTGGGTTTCAGCTTGTCTTGCACAAAGGTTTATACCTTGTTTTCTGATGTCTTTTACTTTGTGGATTTTACCATGTATTGTCTTCTCTATCTCCTGGATGTATTTTCCTTTCTGGTTCTTTCTCTAAAGCTTCATCTTCAGTGTGTTTATGAATTATAACCCAGGTTAACAGAACTACTCAGCATTTTCTACCCATGTTTTTCAGTTTACTGTGGAAGTTGTTGCTGCCTCTGCTGTTCCTCTGTGTTCTGCTCGTTGCTGTCCTGGTCCTGCTGGTGCTGGCAGTGCGTTTCTGGCTGCAGAGCAACAGGACTGTGCGGCGAGCAAGGGACGGACGTCCCACTGTGGCCTTCTTTCACCCTTACTGTAATGCTGGGGGAGGAGGAGAGAGGGTGCTTTGGTGTGCTATCAGAGCGCTGCAGAACAGGTAGAGCTGGGTGTCTTTTTGCTTTTCCTGCACAATTTTAAGGTGATTCTCAAAAGTCCTAAAAGACCTCGATGTCTCCACAGGTATGCAGATATCAATTTTGTGGTGTACACAGGGGACCTGGGGGTGACAGGCCAGCAGATCCTGGAGGGAGCACGACGTCGCTTCAACATCCTGCTCCCCCGCCCGGTTCACTTTGTGTTCCTGAGGCACCGGCTGCTCGTGGAGCCCGGACTGTTTCCTCACTTCACCCTGCTGGGACAGAGCGTGGGATCTGTCTTCTTGGGGTGGGAGGCACTGACAGAGTTTGTCCCAGACATTTACATCGACTCCATGGGTTATGCCTTTACTCTGCCTCTGTTCCGCTACCTGGGAGGCTGCAGCGTGGCTAGCTATGTTCACTACCCCACC